ACGTTCTGAATCCAGGGTTTTAGTCTTATTATCTTACATAGAATTAAATTCTGCGTCTTTTGATATATAAACAAAGTTTCTCAATTGAAACCATTAATTAAAAGAATTAATTTAAGTTGAAAAAATTGAAAAGCCGATTGAGAACTGATTATGAGATCAGCTGACGTAGTAGAAACATTGTATATGATTGTAAATGAGTGAGATCGATAGAGAGCAAAATTTTCTATCTTTCTACCTAGAAAAATTATCTATTTAACCTCAGACAATGTGCTAAAAATCTAAAAAAATGAGGCGACAAAAGTACGTCATAGTTCGACAACTCACCACCCTTCAATATTTTAAATGGTGCTCAAACGAGAAAAATGCTCTCAGAGATTCGAATAGTAGGTTTTGTAGAGCTTGAACTTCTCTGTCTTTTGGTATGTAAAGAACCTTCTAATTTGAAGAGGAAGTACGAAAACAATGCAGTAATATTTAGTCCAGTTTATTATGGCACACTCGTTATTATGATGAAATAGATATAAACAATCCACTTGGTACAAGAGAACGTACCGTTGGAATGTTTTATTACACATTGGCAAATATTTCGCACTATTTGCGTTCACAAGATCGTTTCATTCATTTATCAGCATGTGCCAATAAATCCGATATTGTCGAGTATGGTCTTCAAGATTTATTGCGTGACTTTATCAACTCAGTTAACAGTTTATAAACTAATGGTCTTGATATAAAGGTGAAAATGATTTCATCAGACAGTGATAATTTATCTCCGACATCAAATAAAATCAATTTGAAAGGATCACTACTTGTGATAATCGGCGATCTTCAGGCATTAGCATGGATACATGGTTTCAAATGTGGATTTAAACATGCTTTGATGCCATGGTTTTTATGTAATACAACAAAAGAAAAACTTGAACACATTTTAACAATCGATGAGTGTGACCATCGATCAATGAATGAATATTTATTACAATGTGATAAATTAGATAATCCACAATACAACAAGAATATATGGATTTATCAAAAGAATCTGGAATTAATCATCGATCTATTTCTACGTACATCAATGGTTTTAACATTTTTGCACAAACTGCAATAGATGGTATGCATATATTTTTAGAAGGTATGGTATAAAACAAGAAGTATGCTCCCTGTATATCAGTTAGCTGAATCAGAATTAAGTTTTAGTCTGAGATTTGAAAACGTTCACTACTTAATTACTATTAGACTTAGAAAATAATTTCTAGTCACGATCAACTGTATGTGTACATTAAATTTCTTGTGGGAATTTGCAAACGTCAATTAAAATAATTTTTTTTGAATTTATCAGATGACAATATTTGGGATGGTGTATATTCATGGAGCCGGATCTGCACAGGAATTGGCGAATATATATATCCGAATTTGATGAGGCTCCAAATCCAAATTTTAGTTGGAACAAAGATAATCAAATTCCATTGTCGTCTACCCAAATGCTTTCCGTTATCAAAAATATTCCGTTTATAATGAAAAACATTCTTGGTGAATCACCCACATTTCATCCGGAATGAAAATGTGTTTTAATGCTAAGAGATTTACTTTCAATTTGTTTTTCAACAGAAACTGATGAAAAGAGAGAGCGACAATACAAACAATTAGTCGAAAAATATTTGGAACGTTATGACGAAATATATTGTTCAGTACAACGTATACAAAAACATCATTTTTTGTTGCATTTTTGTAATCAAATTAAATATTTAGGTCCACTAAGATTTTCGAATTGTCTCCCATTCGAGAAGAAACACGCATTTTTTTAATCATACACGTATCGAAATTTTAAAAATATTTCAAAAAGCTTAACCAATCGACATCAATACTACATAGCAAGGAAAATGTTAACATGTGAAGATACGACATCCGACAATTATCTCTATGTGGGACATCAATTAGGCGAATTAATTAAAGTAAACATAAAAGATTTAATACAAGCATGTAAATTAATTGATGAAAATTTACCGACGTATGAGGAACGTCGTCGAATAATCATTTACGGTATCAAATATACACGTGGAGTGATAATGATGACAAATAAAAACCATTTTCCCAAATCACCGGCATTAGTAAAAGTTACAAATATGTATATTCAACAACAGAAAATCATATTTCGAGGAACGCAATATTGTGTCATGGGAAAATATTCAAATCTAGCTGCATTTGAAATATTTTTAACAACAAATGAGAGTTTTTTTAGTCTTTATGATATTTCCTATATTTTTCCACTTCATGAACATTCGATGGGCAGTAAAAAATATGTATCATTCTTTGTTATGTACTAACACTGCTTGCACATTTTCTTTTCATAATCTCTATCCTTATAACTGCTTTTCTTTAGCAACTAACGCTTGCTACACTAATAGCCTTATAATCTGTTAATAAATTTATTCATTGGCCTTTTTTATGTAAAGAAGTTATGGTTTCTACTCACGCTGTACTTTTGCTTATATTTTCAGATAAAATGACTTCCACTACTCATTCAGTAAATGGTACTGTTGTGATAAATGGTTTGACAGAACGATTCTCTGATAATTGTGCAAATTTAACCGATCTGAAATCAAAATTATGTTTTGAATTTGGGTTAAACGATGGTGATGAAAGAGTGCTTCAGTATTTTGATGAATTTGTTGGTCAATATTGCATTTTACGAAAAATTGATGCCCTAGGGGTACCACCCAAGGGGGGGAAGCGGAATGGGCTGGGATGGGCCATTCCAGCCCATTCCATACTATTCCAAACCATTTTTGACAGATTTATATACTATCAAGTATGTATTTTGAGAAACAATGTATTTGTGCACATAATTTATCTGTGCAAGAGTGGCTGCTTCAATGAGCGTGTCCCAATACAAGAAAAATTGGGATACAGCCTACTGAAATGAAGATTTCAGGCTCAATCTCAGAGCCTGGAGGTTTTCAGACATGCTGATTCCAGTGGCGATAGCAATCCACTTTGATTTTTACTTTCATAATGGACTTCTGGAAAACTAGGCTTTTGAGCGGAGGAGGGCTTTCGGAAATATTGCAATTAACTCCCACACTCGGTACAATGGTCCAGAGTGGCGAAGTGTGTTAATTTCTTTTAGAATAAAATAGTGATATTTCTCTCAATATTCTTCGCGAAAACAGAATAATCGTGCTCCCAAAACAGAACAATCATGTTCTTTTGTTGGGAACATTTCCCTAATAACGGAGCAATTGTGTTCTATTCTGTGAGTTTTTTCCCACAGTCAGAACCTTTTTGTTCTGCTTGTGGGAACAGAGATTTCTGGGACAGTTCAGTTCAATAAAGTTTCCTTAAGCCCACATCACTCCACGGAGTGTCGGAATGCGCTTTTCCTCGCTTGACATAAGTCCGTCGGAAATGAAAAATCGAAAAAATTGTCAAAAAACGCCCTCTGAAGGAAGCAGCGGACAAGGATCTTGAGAATACCTACAGAAAAATAGAAATTCTCGCTCAGCATCAGTGTGGTCCACTCCGGCCCATTCTGGTCCATTTCATACCATTCCAGCCCATTTCAACTTAGTCTACCATTCCAAAAACGCTTTTTCCCTCTTGGTACCACCGCAAAAATTATCGTCTGAAAAACCACCACCGCCAAATGAAGTAAAGTATCAAAAGTGGCGAAAATGTTGCTACACCTGCCTAAGTGGGGTGGTAGCTATAACTTCTATGGAAGATGCCATGACGTCAAGATCTTTTCCTAAAAGAAAGTGATCAAGTACTTAAATCTAACTTAAAAATCTCAGTTTTTATCAAGTCTTCCATCTACTCAACTCAATGCGTCAATTCCTGTCGAACTTACCGATACTTCAATCACGGGTAATAATGAAGATGATAAACGAAATTATGTGAATCTGAATAGTTCATAAGTATCAAATAAATAAACATAAATAACTTTAAGGTTTTTATTTATATTTATAGGAACCACGTACACCGGTTGATGGCAACAATGATCAAAAATGCCGCTGGAAAAGAGAACAATAATATGACAATGAAAACAACAGAGAAAAAACTTCCGGATGAAGTATGCCTCGTTGCTTACAGAGACTTAGATTTTCAGATACTTTTGTATGTTAATATAATAGATTTATCAAATTCCATCTTGAATTAATGATCCACTATATCCTACTCCATCGTTCTCAACATATGTGGAAAATAAAAAATTAAAGAGGACTTGCTAACTCACTCTATCGTCGTAAAATAGTGATGTATTGAGATGTTTATTTTCTGTGTAGGTGATATAACAAATGTGATGTCAGATATGGTTAATGAAGCTCGAATTTTTTATCGAAAATATAAATTGACAAAATAACAACATTCTAGAACAATTGTTAAATCAATTATTAACAAATTTGATAAAAGTCAATCATTCAAAGTGAAAGCACAATTAGTACGAAGCGCATTTCGCCTACTTTTAACTCTTATTATTCAACACGATTTTTGACATTTTAGCAATTGTTCCGACAACGCTTAGCAAAATCTTTACGGAATGATCGATTTAAGCAAATGAGAAAAATGAAAAAATTATTCAGTGAAGATTGAGATAATCGACATTCTAAAAAAAAGACAAATGAAACGACCGGTGAAAAGGAAGAAGAATCAGGTAAGAGTGTCAAATTCTCTTAACACAGAAATGCTTAGAACTTTCAAAGATTTAAAAAGATATTTGTTTAGATGATGAAGAGCAAGGAAAGTCAGATGAAAAACAATTAGAACAATTTCTGAACCAGTTAAATGATTTATTTAATAATGGAACAATTAACAATAAATTTAAACAATTATTGACTGATTCATATCGTGTTAGAAAACAATTTATCTCCAATCAAAATATATCATTCAGAGATATATTAGAAAAAATGACGTTTACGAAAACAATAGATTTTGTATGTATGCTTACTTATATATATCTACACAATCACTTGAATGATTTATTGTAGATAAAAGTCGAATTTGAAATAAGAACAAAAGAAGCTATTACAAAAATAACAATGAATTTAACACTATTGATCGAAAAATTAAAAAGAATGTATCCATCCATTGATAGTTCTGAAGTAAATATGGTACATCTGGAAACTTATATTGAGATATGATAATTTTTCTTATTCTAGGAACATTTCTAACTCGAATTAATATCGTGTTTAGTAAAAAGTAGGAGAAACAATGAATCAATATTTGTTAAACTTGAAGTAGGTATATTATACTAGTGATGTCAGTGCAGCTGACAACTGGTGTGAATTCTCTCTCTGTTCTTAATATATCATACAAATGATTTTGCTTTTTCTCCGATACAGATGCCGGAAGATTCATCAAAAACATTTGACGGTATATTTGATATATTGTGTAGTAAATTGCCAAATACATTTCTTATGGTTTACTTAATTATCAATGATCAATGGAGTTATTATCTTATTCATTTTGCTTTATGGCGTTAATAACTGAATCATACTGATGATGCACTTAGAATAAAGTACGAAACGTCTCAAAATGCTTAAAGCGGTCTATTGTTCTCATCTTCATTATAGTTATTATCCTGTTTATTCAAATATTATAAAATTTGATTTAACAAGTCTGCCAAAACCAACAATGCTGGCAATATACCTGGTTTGCTTCTATTCATTCGATCTTACGTGGCTAACGAAACAAGAAGCAGTATCAGACATAACTGATAATTATGGCTTTAATGGTCAATCAAAATACAAATCATCATATGGAGGTATTGCTAAACAATTAATATTGGACATTGATAATCACGATGAAGAATCATAAGAAAAAATCTTTCGGTTTTCTTGCTACGCATGTATTTAATTCATGCTAATAAACAAACATAACAACAACTAACTTTCCCTCTTAGCTTTTGACGATTGATGATAACCCCACTCTTCCGATGATTTCAAGTGCTTCTCTGAACACTAGTACTAACAATATATATTATACTAACAATGATACTAATCATACCACTTAGAACCATTGTTCCATGCCAGTTTCAACTCTTTGTATATGCATGTCTTTCAGATGATAATACACTGATGAGACGAGGTGTAAGTCAAGGCTCAGTCAGCCACTTATGATAATTAATTAAGGGCTCACTGAACCTAATTATACCGAGCTCATGCTATCAAACCAATAGTGAAATTTTAAAAAAGATAGACATTCAAATGTCTATTATGACTTCTAACAAGATGCTACAAAGCGTCTCCCTTCGGTAGTCACCTGATGTGTCTTCAAAGTAGGCGCTTTTATGTGGCTAAACGGGAACCGACTTCTGCGTCTTCCTAGAAGTCGCATTTCATTTTATAGTGTGTAACTCAAGAACCATGATATATAGTTTAATTTATTTAACGAGGATTGTAATACACAAAAAATTTTTCCTCTCTACATACGACAATAGATAGAGTAGGACAAGAAGTAAAGAATGTTAAGTGAATCTTTTAGTGTCAACGATGTATTTGTGGACATTATTTACGATAAGGATGTTTTGAACCATGATAGCTAGGGACTTCTAATTTTTTGTAGTCATAACGCTTGCCAAATGCTGATCGCCCACCAAGTTTGGGCTTCTTTTACTAGATGGTTCGTGAGATATAAGCAACACTCATTTTCAGGCACTGAAATAAAGTTTGAAGAAGTTATTCAAGATTCAACGGACAGAGAATCGTCGGCTCCGTAAAACTCTTGGTATTCGATGTTCGCATATAGTTTCTCTATTGGAATAATCAATGTAGTAGAAAAGAAGACGAAAATTGATGATGCAGAAGGCATAAAAGATTTCTGAACAGCCCTTGGAAGTGTCGAATACCAAGAGTTTTACGGAGCCGACGATTCTCTATCAGTTGAAACTTGAATGACTTCTTCAAACTTTATTTCAGTGTCTGAAAATGAAATAACAAAAATATAGAACTGCACTCATTAATGACAAGAATTGAAGAAAAAGATAGAAAATATAAACGGGTTAAACTTTTGTTCGTCGCTTTGTTTTATTTTGAAAGTAGTTGTAGTTCGAATCATGTTGATGCCAATTGTTGGAGACATGAATATTTTGCTAATCCTTGGTATACTAAGGGATAGTGTGTTTTAATATAAATGTTTTGGGCCGCCGTAATGTTCGTTGGTGCAAGTGCGATGACTGATTCTGCAAGCAAACAAAATGCAGTGTCCCCGTCTAATTCATCGCTGGATAAGAATCCAGGAGAAGGGAAAAACTGACCGCTGCTAGCAATATTCCATCCGAATTCTACTGGACGTATCCTATACATAGCTACAGCTTGTTGAATTATATCATCCAATGTATAAGGTTCGAGGCGTCTGTACCAGTTGTATGGTATACGTTCAGGTTTATGCATCCATCCCGAATGATCCCATAATCGTTGAGCACCAAAGAAAGACGAAATAACCTCTTCTGATGGTATTTTATCTACAGCACTTGGAAATACTTCGTAAAGAAAGGTTGCTGCACCATATGAATGAAGTGCTCTTACGTCAAAAAAAAATTTTTTATTATCCCGACGCGATTGCTGATATCGTTTACGACGATAAGCGGCGATTGCTTCAATAGTATAAAGACCATTTGAAGTTTCCTTAGCTACTTCATGCATCATACCATACAGTGTACCATTAAAGCTCCAGTTATCACCATTAGCTAAATCATAATCATTACGTGTTAATGATGCATCAAGTTCTAATGTATTATGCTCATTTAGGCCACCGGGGATAATACCCATGAAAGCACCAGTTTCATCTGAACTATGACCAATTGAAAATTTACCAGTTTCAGGATTACCAAGAAAAAACGTATTTGTTACAGCAAGTATAACAGCAAGATCTTCACCAATATTGTACATGGTTGTTAGCCCCTTTACTACTTCATCTATTCCTACAATACCACTTCGATTAATATAACCATGATTGGCAGCAGTATTTAACCCAGGACAAGGGCCACGTACATCAGTTGCACCAGGTGGTCTAAACGGATGTTTTGCATCTGGTATACGACCAATTGAATACTTATGCTTCGTGGAACAAACACCGATATTTGAACGTATAATAAAGATAAGTGTGATGGTCAAGACGCAGCAGTAATTCATTCTTGACATTCAAAAACCGTACCACAAAATTTCCACAAAATGGCAAACTCGAATATGCTGAATTGCAACGAAAGCACGTAAAGTGTTACACCTTCTTTCTCCACTTGTTATACGATGTGAAGTTAACTATAGTTGCCAGTGTGAGAGATTTATTTTATAGAACCGTGTGATCATTATTATCAAGTAAAAGTATCAGCTGGGATTCAGTAATATATTATTAATTTTCGTTGATTTTCAAAG